GCACAATAGTAGTATTATTGCCAATTAAGTTAGCTTTTAAAACTCTTTCATTGTGCCCGCAGTGACGAGTAATGAAAAGCAACATTCATCATTATTAGCATCATTAGCAGTGCTGACGGCAATAGGTGTAGTCTCTCTTCACGTGAGATATTAGATTAAACAAAAATTATTTATTTCACAGTCGTTGGGTAATTTGAACAAACAGTGCATAAGTAAAGATGTGAAGACCAAGATGTTGTGGCCTCGGGTATGGTCGCAGTCTCCTTTCGACTTAAGTAAGTTTTCGAGACTGCCCGAGGCTATTACATCTCATATAACTTCATTTGTTGTCAGAAATTGAATTTTTCTGATCTGCGGTAGTTGGAGAGGCTTTGTCGAATTCTTTTTCGTGTATAGCAGTCTCTAAATGTTGAGTTTTGTGGTGAAAACGAGCACCTAGAATGGCCATTATGTTGAGATTGACACTTCGACGTCACAGCGGAAGTTGTAAGCACTAGTCAGCGAAAATAAAAATAAGCCCTTGAGTGTGCAACGCATTTAGAAGGAAAAGGCAAGTAGTGAAAAGTGAATGTAATAATTGTATGTCATAAATGTCAATATGTGCAACTCTACTACTTGCAAGCATAACAGTGGTATCATTGTATTTGTCAAAGTTTTTAGCATTCAATTGTATAGATCAGTGTAGAAAATGAAGACGATCATCAATCGACAAGGTTTCGATAGATAGGGCTACAATGGGTCATGCTAAAAGTTGCTAACTATATATGATTTTTCGCAGCTACCGAAAATTCACCAGTAGTTTGATTTCTAGAGTTTTTGCAGCGCCTTTGAACTCCCTCATAAAGGCGATTTCGTCCTGCCATCTTGGGAAGACCAGTCGAACTCTTATGCACTACCCTAACCGGAAGATAGGGATCTGCTCGAGGGATCAAGAGACCTAGTCTCAACTCGACAGTCTACCTTCTGCCATGAGTGCGGTCACGTCTGGCTGCATTATGAAAGGTGAAATAGTGGAAAGTTGAATCATATATGCGAAAAAAGTTGCGCTTAAAAGACTATCTTGATGCCCATTTACTGAACTTTACTTCCACTTTAAAGAAAGTGTATGCAATGTAGAGAGTCCAAGGTCGATCCCAGCACAAAGCAGTGGAGGATTCCTTCCGGTCAGTTGCCAATTTGTTGACGCATGGAAGCCCAGCTTTTTTCCACGAACCCGCAGAAAATTGCCTCGGAAACAGTGTCTAGTAGAGCCAATCAGCAGCTGATCAAAAGAAATTGACCATCACCTTCTGGTGAGATCGACCTTCGAATCTCTTCGCCAGTCAACTTCATTCGAGATGGAAGGGGGCTAGAACAATTAAAAACGTGATTTGCCTAATCAGGACCAAAGGCTCCCTGATTCAAACCGACCTACACTCACATTCTTCCGGGGATTTAAACTTGATCCTTCTTCTCGGGTTCTTAGTAACGTCCAACGAGGCCGAAGGTTTCTAGCATTCTCTTGCTTCT